AAATATAAGGTCAGGTAATCATCAAAGACTCTTAGGTATTTGGTTATGATACAAATATGATTAGTCATTCTGAACTTGGAATAATGTTTAAATGGTCCATCATACATACATGCGTTACTCTAAAGTCAAAGTCAAGGCCCTTTTGAAAGTTTCAAACTATGAGGGTGTTTGGCTAAGCTTAAAAGATGTTAAAAGGAGCTTATAAGATGTTTTAGAACTTATAAGCTCTTTCAAAGTGTTTGGTAAATTTTTAAAAAAAAACCTTAATTTTTTTTAAAATAAGATCTTTTAAAATAAGTACCTCTACCCCACCTTTTTATTTAAGATCTTATAATGAGTAAAAATAGGAAATAAGCTCATTATCCAAACACTCTAAAAATTAATCCAAAAAATAAGATGTAACAGCTTATCAGCTCTAAAAACATCTTATCAGACGTAAGAGCTTATCTGCTGTTTAAAATAAGCTTAGCCAAACACCCTCTATATCATAACAAAATTAAAATCAAACTATACTTGGAGTGAAACTTGGAACGATATTTTCGAATTTTGCTTATTTAATTCAAAAAAAAAGAAAAATTAAATTTTTTTTGTTGTTGTGAATTTTGAAAATTCTTTACTTTTTATTTGAATTTTAGTGTAGTCGGATTGAAATATATATACACGAGATTTGAATTTTCGACGCAATTTAAATTTCCAAATAATTCTAAAATTTCATTTTTTCCTCCAAATGTTATTCTTATAATATAAATATTATTATGCATTTTAAATTATAGGTGAATACAAAAAAATATGAAAAATTTCGATTGCCGTCAATTATGATCCCGAGAAAAAATGGTACATATCTTTTATTCCAATTTCAAAGAAAATGATTTACGATCTAAAAAACTTTTAACGAGATTATAATGTATAAAAAAAAGTTCAGTATTTGTATTTTTTTATATATGTATAGGTAAATATAATATTTGTACAATACATAAAGAATTAAATTAGTTGGGAGGTGTAAGATTGCAACCATAAATCAGCATCAATGAAAGAAACATTAAGAAATAAAGATGCTTGTGTGTCGTTTAATCTCTGTGCATAAGGTGCCCTAAGTGTCGTATTAGCTCCATCCCCTGTGCAATTGTACTCTCCATAAAATATTGTCCTGCAAAAAAAAAAAATAATAATAATTAAATAATATTAATAATAATAATAAATAAATAAAATTAAGTACTCACTGGTCTCGGGTAGGATCGTTGAAATCGTTCCATCCTTCGGATGCGATAATATCGGACATGGTGGTGTTTAAAAAGACGACGGTGGAGAAAGGCCTCCAAGCCCGGCCCAACCAAATCCTTCCGGTTCCACCGATTGTGCAGTTGACGAACGCGAACCCGCTATTCTCTTCCTTGGAGGCCCGCCCGTTTGCGGTTACCGCTCCGTTTATCACCCGGGCGCCCGGTGCCACTGGGGTGGCTATTGAGGTTATATGGCAATTCTGTATATATGACATTTATTCAATAATATATATACATAAGAACAGTTTTGATTGCATTTTAATTATATCTAGCAAAGTTGGTACCATGCCATGCAATGTGCATGAAAAAAGGTTAAAATTGAAATCCAATTAATAATTGCTAAATTTATAATTTGGAAAATTGTAAGAGTTTTATATTTGATTCAAAAATCAAAATTAATAAGTATGTGAATATTGAAGAATTTAGAATCGTAAAAAACGTGCATGTTGAGATCGCAATAAATTGTTCTAATCGAAAGTTGCTTAAGAATATTCAAATATGAAAAGCTGAAAACTCGGAACGAATCAAATCGTAAATCGTAAGTTCATCTGACATCTATGAATTTATAGTTTTGATTTAATAAACTGGCAAAATTACTGGTTATTTCTATGCTACATCCGGTGAACCTTATTCCGGGTGATCTTTTACTATTGATTTACACACACCAATTTGGGTGTGTGTGTGTGTGTTTGTGTGTATATCAATGCTAAAGATCTACCCGCAGTATT